TCAGGGTGATTGAAGTCTCCCATAAGAAAATTAAAGTCACCCATGAGAATCAGGGCATGCGATCTAGTAACTTCCGTGAGTTGCCGGAAGAAAGCCTCGTCCGCCTCATCCCCTGATCCGGTGATCTATAGGAGACTCCCACGACATCACCCTTGTTGCTCGCACTTCTATACTTAATCCGGAGACACTCAGGTTTTTCTGCAGTTTCATACTTGAGCTCAGAGCAGTCATACTGCTCTCTTACATACAGTGCAACTCCCCCGCCTTTTCTGCCCTGCCTGTCCTTCCTGAACCGTTTATATCCATCCATGACAGTACTCCAGTCATGTGAGTTATCCCGCCAAGTCTCTGTTATTCCAATCACATCATAATTCCTTGACTTTGCCAGGACTTCCAGTTCTCCCTGCTTGTTTCCCAGGCTTCATGCATTTGTGTATAGGCACTTGAGATAATTTTGCTGTTTGTCCTGCTGTCTTAGTATGAGGCAGGAGCCCTCCCCTTTCAAGTTCTCCTGCTCGTGCTTCCTCCCAGTATCCCACTTCCCCACTTACCTCAGGGCTTTGGTCTCCTTCCCCCAGTGAACCTAGTTTAAAGGCCTCCTCACTAGGTTAGCCAGCCTGCTTGCGAAGATGCTCTTCCCTCTCTTCGTTAGGTGGAGCCTGTCTCTGCTTAGCACTCCTCCTTTTTGGAACACCATCCCATGGTCAAAGAATCCAAAGCTTTCTCTCCGGCACCACCTTCATAGCCATTCATTGACTTCCACGATTCGACAGTCTCTACCCAGGCCTTTTCCTTGCACGGGGAGGATGGACGAGAACACCACTTGCGCCTCAAACTCCTTTCAGAGTAACAGCCATGTTAGTCTGTATTCGCAAAAAGAAAAGGAGTACTTGTGGCATCTTAGAGACTAACCAATTTATTTGAGCATAAGCTTTCATGATAAATTGGTTAGTCTCTAAGGTGCCACAAGTACTCCTTTTCTTGAAACTCCTTTATCCTTCTTCTCAGAGCCACGTGTTTGACTGTATTCAAACAAGCAGTCAAGCACACGGTCAAACTGTCAATCTGTCCCCACAACAGACACTCAGATACTCACCAACACAGCCTCCCTAATGCAGCCCTTAGCCCTCAGAGAGATCCCGGGCAAACTCCCTCTGTTAGCCTCTCTGCTGTTTGCTGCTCAGCTGGTTCGCAGCTGCCTTGCTTTTTATAACAGTCAGGGCCATTCAAGGCTCACCTGGAACAAAGCACTCCCAATTCACACTTTTCAAACAACCAATCAAGCACACGGACAAACTGTCCCCACAACAGACACTCAGATACTCACCAACACAGCATCCCTAGTGCAGCCCTAATGCATGGTCAAGCACAAGGTCAAACATACAGCTATGTTAAGGCCCCTTCTTACATCTTGTGCACCAATCACCTCCTAGCATTACAAGCACTGAAATCCTGAGCATAGCAACAAATATTAGTAGCTTTCAGCTTCAAATTGCTGCCTCAAAGCATCCCTGATCCTTATGGCCCCACGCTGAGCCCCGCTAATAGCCCTAGTCTCCGGCTGTTCCAAAACTCAGCCTCCAGGCGCTGAGCGTCTGTGGTCCAGCCATGAGTGAACCTTTCACCCTTCCCTTCACAAATATTATGGAGCACACAGCAGCTATAAGCATAGGAGTATTGTCATCGGCCATGTCTAGCTTCCCATACAGGCATCGCCTGCGGACTTTTAAACATCTGAATGCACACTCCACAGTCATTCTGCACTTGCTCAGCCTATTGTTGAACCGCTCCTTGCTGCTGTCAAGTTGCCCTGTGTTTGGCTTCATGAGCCACGGCATTAAGGGGTAGGCAGGGTATCCCAGGATCACAGTGGGCATTTCGACTTTCCCCATGGTGATCTTCTGGTCTGGGAAGAAAGTCCCTGCTTGCAGCTTCTTGAACAGGCCAGTGTTCCTGAAAGATCCGTGCATCATGCACCTTTCTGGACCAGCCTGTGTTAATGTCTGTGAAACGCCCACGGTGATCCACAAACACCTGGAGAACCATTGAGAAATACCCCTTGTAATGAATGTACTCTCTGGCTAGGTGGTCTGGTGCCAGAATTGGAATGTGTGCGCCATCTATCGCCCCTCCACAGTTAGGGAAGCCCATTTGTGCAAAGCCATCCACAATCTCATGCATGTTGCTCAGAGTCACGGTGTTTCAGAGCAGGATGTGATTAACGGTCCTGCACACTTGCCTCAACACGACTCCAACGGTCAATTTTCCCACTCCGAACTCGTTAGCAACTGATAAGGAGCAGTCTGGAGTAGCCAGCTTCCATGGTGCAATCGCCATGCGCTTCTCCAGCGCTTCTTCACAGCTCTCATTCTTGTGTCCTTGTGCCGCAGGGCTGGTGCGAGCTCATCACATGGTCCCATGAATGTGGCTTTCCTCATGTGCAAGTTCTGCAGCCACTGCTCGTCATCCCAGACGTGTGTCATGATGTGATCCCACCACTCCGTGATTGTTTCCCAAGCCCAAAAGTGGCATTCCACTGTGGTCTACACCTCTGTGAATGCCACAAGAAATCTCCTGTCGTAGCTACTACGCGTGGTGAGATCCGTGTCGCACTCCTCTTGCCTTTGTTTAAGGAATAACTCCACTGCGACTCGTGATGTGCTGGTCAGTGCAAACAGCGTTCTTGTCAACAGCGTGGGATCCATTCCTGCAGCCAGAAAGAGGCAGGGCAGGGCGCACAGTAAACGAACAGTTGAAAGATGGTGCCAAATGTGGATGGAAGCGCAGGGGTTGCTGGGATGCGAAACAATGCATCACAGGCATTGGGACAGGACCCAGGATGCCCTGCAGTGCCTTCCGCCTTCCCACAAGTCTTTGGAGCAGAAGAGAAAGAGGTGCTCTGTGGGAAAGCAACCCATAGTGCACCGTTCCAAATAGCGCTGCAACTGTGAACATGGTATTGCGCAAGCAGCTGTCAGTGTGAACACACAACAGCGGTTTTCCTTCGGCATTCTCTGAGTGGCGCTGTAACTGCCTGCGCTGTAACTTTGCCAGTGTAGATGTGCCCTGAGTTCAACACCCACCGCTTATAAATTAAAAACACCTTTTTATATATTTAACACCATTATAAATGCTGGAGGCAAAGTGGGGTTTGGGGTGGAGGCTGACAGCTCGTGACCTCCCCCATGCAATAATTCGTGACCCCCAGCTTGAGAACCCCTGTTTTAAAGTGCACGGACAAGTTGCCAGAAGAGGGGAAACAAGTTTCGGACTGTGGTGGCTGTGGGAAAGGTGGTGGTCAGGACCTAATTTTAGGCCACATTAGGTGTTGTGGATTATGCTGCCAGAGCGATGACTTTCTTCCCTAAGCCTCGTGCTCACAAGGATGAAGAGAGACTCTAAGGGTGAGGAGAGACTCCACATATTAGATGTTAGGAAGGTGTTAACATTTTACTTGGACAGGACTAAACTATTTAGACCCTCTTTGCAGTTGTTCTTAGCAATTGCAGACAAAATTAAGGGCCTTTCCAGTTTCTTTTCAAAGAATCTTATTGTGGATTTCCTCCTGTATACATTTGTGCTATGGCATGCCTAATATAACTACACTGAATAGGATGCTAGCATGGTCAATCAGATTGCAGGCAGCCTCTACAGCCTTTCTAGCCCATGTGACTATTCTGGACATTCGTGGAACCACAGTTTGATATTCAGTACATATGCCATCTCCCAACAGTCTAGAGGTGATGCCAGTTTTGGACATCTAGTCCTTCAATCGTTATTCAGATAGACTCCGATCAAACTGCTTGTGAGACCCCTGCAGTGGAATGGACATGTGCTACACGCACATGTCCATTCCATGACCCTCCTTCCCCTCTATATTGGAGTCTATCCAGTAAGAAGGAACTGAGTAGAGGAGGGGCGGCTCTGCTCTTTATACCATTGCACAGCAGCATGAGGCAGCAGCACTGTGCGTCCCTGATCTTTGGTGCTTCTGTAATGCAAATATTGGATGATGGTAATTAATGGCTAAACTAGAACTAGCAATAGGAAATGCACTTAGGCTGGGATTGCCAAGGAGACTTGGGAGCTGGGTACATAAGAACCTTAGGCTCCTTTGAAAATCCTAGTCTAGATTTATCTTTGTTTTGGTATAATTGTGATATTATGCAACACTTAAAGTATGTAATATATATTTGACACACGCCGTTTGAATATGTCTGTCCCATGCAGTTTGTAAACACACTCAAAATTATACAAATCTATATACATAATTTTCTGTCAATTACTGTGGTGTGTGTATGCTAAATAAGTGGTCTGTCTTTAGTAGAGTGGCAAATTCTAAGACCCTATGTAGGAATGCAGGGCTCTTCTGCTGAATGCTAAAACTCTGTTCAGGGTAATTTCTGGAGATTCATGTTGGTGAATTGGCTTATCAGGAAATGAAGGAGGTGGAATGCTGTCTCTTAGCAGAGGGCATTAGGAGAGAGGAGGTTATGGAGGGAAACTCCAATCTTGAGAAGGAAATTTAGCCTTAAGTGTTTGTGTTACAGTGTATGAGTTACTGTAAAGCCAGAGCAGCATGGAAGTGTGTATATATATACATCCTGTGTATATTGTTGAGGATGGGATAAGGAGTTGCTCTTTGCACACTTCTATTGTAAATTAATGAATGTAAATGCCCCCCAAAAATGTAAATAAGCTTCTCTACTTCCAGTAAATTCAGACAGTCTAGCTATTTTAACCATTCTGTGACATTATATATATAAATATAAAAGCAAAACTGTTTTCTTCATTTGGAGTTCTGTATAGAAACCGGTGGCAGAATATGGGTCCTGGTCATTACAAAAATCTTTGCTCCTTCTATTTCCTCCAAGCCCTTTATCAGTTGAAGACATGAAACAATCTGAAAATGTAAAGGATCTGGTTGAAGTTTAAATTATTCTAAAGGACTAAAGAGTGCAGTAAAATAGATGAAAAAATAAATGTCTGTTTTTACACAGAGTTCCTTGGGAATTTAAAGAACATTTAAAAAAAAAAAAAAGAGGAGAGGTGGAAAAAAGGAACAGTTAGAAGATTTGAACACTGGACCAGAGGATTAAGGATATCTCCGTAGAACATCAAAACTTAAAAAGGTATGTGAACTTTTACCTTCTGCTAGTAAGCCTGAGCTGAAAGTCAGCGGGTCACTTTACTCTTAGTCATCGTAAAATTTGTCATCTCATAATTTTCCACCATTCCAGTTTATGGTTGTCAAGGTTCCTTCCCCACTCTGAACTCTAGGGTACAGATGTGGGGACCTGCATGAAAAAAACACCTAAGCTTACTTTTACCAGCTTAAGTTAAAAATTCCCCAAGGTACAAACTATTTATTTTACCCTTTGCCCTTGGACTTCCACTGCCACCACCAAACGTTTATCTGGGTTTATTTATTAGGAAAGCTTTGTTTGGAAACGTCTTTCCCCCCAAAATCCTCCCAACCCTTGCACCCCGCTTGCACAGGTGACCACAGACCCAAACCCTTGGATCTTAAGAACAATGAAAAAGCATTCAGTTTCTGAAAAGGATGTTAATAGAAGAAAAAGTAAAAAAGAATCACCTCTGTAAACTCAAGATGGTAAGTACCTTACGGGGTAATTAGATTCAAACCATAGAGAATCCCACTAGGCAAAACCTTAAGTTACAAAAAGACACACAGACAGGAATATCCATTCTATTCAGCACAGCTTAATTTCTCAGCCATTTAAAGAAATCATAATCTAACACACATCTAGCTAGATTACTTACTAAATTCTAAGACTCCATTCCTATTCTGTCCCCAGCAAAAGCATCACACAGACAGACTCTTTGTTTTTCCCTCCCCCAGCTTTTGAAAGTATCTTGTCTCCTCATTGGTCGTTTTGGTCAGGTGCCAGCGATGTTATCCTAGCTTCTTAACCCTTTACAGGTAAGAGGATTTTTCCTCTGGCCAGGAGGGATTTTAATGGGGTTTACCCTTCCCTTTATATTTATGACAATGGTACAATGTAGTACTTTTCTAAAAAGAAACATATGGGATTCTTTTTTGTCCATCTCCCAAGTGGAAGGAATTTCTTATTTTATTTTGTTTTTAGAATGTTTGTATTACAGTGGCTCCTAGAGGGCCTAGGCTGACCAGGTGTTCGGTTTTTGACTGGAACAACTGGTCGAAAAGGGACCCTGCTGGCTCCGGTCAGCACTACTGAGTGGGCCATTAAAAGTCCTGTTGGTGGTGCTGAGGCACTAAGGCAGGCTAGTCCCTACCTGTCCTGGCTGGTGCACCGCTGCGCCCCGGAAGCGGCCAGCAGGTCCGGCTCCAAGGCGGGCGGGGCACGGAGCTCTGCACTCTGTCCCTGTCCTGAGCACCGGCTCCATACTCCCGGCCAATGGGAACTGGGTGGGGCAGTGCCTGCGGGCAAGAGCGGAGTGTGGAGCCTCCTGGCCTCACTGCTTAGGAGCTGGACCTGCTGGTTGCTTCTGGGGTGCATGCAGCCAGGACAGGCAGGGAGCCTACCTTAATCTTGCTGTGCTGCTGACTGGGAACCTGAGGTAAGCCTACCACAACCCTCCCCCCACCCCACCCCCAACTGGAACCCCCTCCTACACTCCAAACCCCTCATTTCTGGTCCCACCCCAGAGCCCGTACACCTTCCTGCACCCCAACTCTCTGCCTCAACCTGCAGCCCCCTCCCGCACTCCTAATCCCTCAGCCCCACCCCCCCAGCCTGGACTGCCTCCTACACTCCAAACTCCTCATTCCCAGAGCCAGCACCCAAAACCCTCCCACACTCCTACCCCCGCCCAGTGAAAGTGAGTGAGGGTGGGGGACAGTGAGCCACTAAGGGAGGGGGAGTGTAGTGAGCGGGGGGTCAGGGTCTCAGGGAAGGGGCGGGGCTAGGGTGTTTGATTTTGTGCGACTAGAAAGTTGGCAACTCTTAGAGGGCCCTGAACAGGATCGTGGTCCCTTTGTGATAGGTGCTGCACAAATATATAATGTGAAATGGTCCCTGCCCAGAGGAGCTTACTCTTTTAAGATTACAAGTGACATAGGAAAGCTAAGGAAAAAAGGGCACAGTCAAAAGTTAGGCAAATGTTTGTTATTTACAATTGGAATTTTTTTTCTGTATAATACAGATAACGTTTTGAATGTGGTTATTGTGGAAAAGCAGAGTTAAAGGAGTGTGTCCTACATTCCAGCAGTTTCATGATCATTCTAAAGTGTTGTGGGAGTGAAGTTCATAGTTGTGGGCCAGAAAGTGAGAAAAGTCTCCCTCCTTCCCTCCCTCCCTTACTAGTTTCACGTTTTCGATCATCAGTTACATTGTTTTAGTGGAAAAACAACAAGGAGTCCGGTGGCACCTTAAAGACTAACAGATTTATTTCGGCATAAGCTTTTGTGGGTAAAAAACCCACTTCAAATGTGTGGAGTGAAAATTACAGATACAGGCATAAATATATATTGGCACATGAAGATATGGGAGTTACCTTACAAGTGGAGAACCAGTGTTGAAGACAATTGATTCCGGGTGGATGTGGTCCACTCCAGTAATTGATTAGGAGGTGTCAATACCAAGAGAGGGAAAATTTCTTTTGTAGTGAGCCAGCCACACCTACTTCCTATTCAAGCCCAAATTGATGGTGTTAAGTTTGCAAATGAATTGTAGCTCTGCAGTTTCTCTTTGAAGTCTGTTTTTGAAGTTTTTTTTGTTGAAGAATGGCTATTTTTAAATCTATTGAGTGTCCAGGGAGATTGAAATATTCTCCTACTGGCTTTTGTATGTTAGCATTCCTGATGTTTGATTTGTGTCGATTTATCCTTTTATGTAGAGACTGTCTGGTTTGGCCAATGTATATGGCAGAGGGGCATTGCTGGCTCATGATGGCATATATCACATTAGTAGATGTACGGGTGAATGAGCCTCTGATGGTGTGGCTGGTGTGGTTGGGTCCTATGATGATGTCGCTAGAGTAGATATGGGGACAGAAAAGGTAACAAGGTTTGTTATAGGGATTGGTTCCTGGGTTAGTGTTTCTGTTGTGTGGTGTGTAGTTGCTGGTGAGTATTTGCTTCAGGTTGGGGGGCTGTCTGTTAGCAAGGATTGGCTTGCTTTCCAAGGCCTGTGAGAGTGGGGGATCGTTTTCCAGGATAGGTTGTAGATCGTTGATGATGCGCTGAAGAGGTTTTAGCTGGGGGCTGTACGTGATGGCCAGTGGTGTTCTGTTATTTTCTTTGTTGGAACTGTTCTGTAGTTGGTGACTTCTGGGTACCCGTCTTGCTCTGTCTGTCTGTTTCCTCATTTCCCAGGTGGGTATTGTGGTTTTAAGAATGCTTGATACAGATCTTGTAGGTGTTTGTCTCTGTCTGAGGGATTGGAGCAAATGTGGTTGTCTACAGCCAAGCCCTAAGATACAATGGATCGTGTGATGTATCCTGGATGGAAGCTGGAGGCATGTAGGTAAGTATAGTGGTCAGTAGATTTTGCCTCAAGTAAATTGTATAGCTCCTGTGGATGGTTGTGAGGATCAGTACCAAAGCCTTGAACTTGAAGCCTAAAGTGCTATCATTTGTATGTGGTGTTGCTGTAAATACTGGGATGTTGTCATGGACATCTCAATGGACAGCTGCAGTCATAAAGCCAACAAGCTATTTTAGTATGCATAAGGAATGGACTGGAGAATAATTAATACTGATACTATTATATAAATCAGTGATGTGGCCCCATCTTGAATATTTCATGCAATACTGGCTGTCTGATCTCAGAAAGGATATTTTAGAACTGGAGTGGGTTTAGAAAAGAGCTATGAGCATGATCAAGGGCATGGAAAAACTCTTGTATGAAAAGAGCTTGAAAAGATCAGGATTGTGTATTTTAGAAAGGAGATGAATAAGAAGGGAGTTGATAAAAGTATATAAATAATGAATAGCATAGAGAAGGTAGATTGGGCTTTTCTGTTTTTTCCCTCTCCCACCCCAAACCTAAGAACAAGGGGACTGTAATTGGGTCAGCCATCCTGGTTGGGTATGTGCATAGTCTTTAAGCCAGTCCAGCCCTGGTATGGGGCCACATTCCCAGAGCTTCCTCCCTGGAAACGCTATCTTCCTGTGATCCTCCCCAGGCTCAGTTCCTGCAGACAGCCAGGAGCTCCCTCAATGCTCCACACCAGCAGACTGTCCTTGGCTCCTTCCTAGCAGCCAGCCATGAGCCCAGGGTGGATAAAAATCAATGATTTAAAAAAAATTGGATTTTTTTATTGAAATTGGATTTTTTTGGTAAAATGCTTTTTGAGGAAAAAACCCATCTAAAGATAGTTTTAATTAAGCTACATTATAGCTCAAAGATATCTCATCGTGGAATAGGGAATATAAATTCTAATTTTATAGTATGAGACAATATATTCATGTAATGTTTAAGAAAAGTTTTGTAAATGAGTTCCAATAGTTCATGGATTAGGGACCTAATCTTATGGAATTCCAGGGGCTTCTGTATAGATTATTTAGGTTAATCTTTCTGTCTACCTAATGGAACTCAGTGCTCAATCTAGAAGATACCATCAGAGATGTTTAGTTTTGCTGTTCTCAAGCTGTGGGTTTGTGTCTCCAGAGACAACATTTTTGTTAACAGCAAATACATACATAAATAGTATATAGAGGTGAGAAATAAGAGACTCTGTTGTCCCTCTGCAAATGTGTGTACACAGAGTCAATCCCTTACCTCTCTCTAAAAGTGCAAAGTTTCAAAAAGTTGAATGAATAGAAGATTGATTGTTTGTGCCAGAATAGATCTGGACAAGGAGAAGAAGTCTGGAGATAAATGTGAGAGGAAGGGACAGGCAGTAGAAACAAAAGTGAAACTCTTTGAGCCGCATATTCCAGAAGTCTTGAGGTCTTTCTGAGTGTGTACCCTTCATTGATTTGAGATCTACCATACTATTCTCTCACTAGAAGGGAAAACCTATAATGGCAGCAGGCCGTAGATGAGATCCAGTTTGGGTCTCCTCTATCTCTGAGTTGTGAAGAATATGTATTAAAGTTGTAACAACCAACAAGAATGCACTTTTATGTAGAAATCCATGATTAAATTGAGTCTTCCTGGCTTGTGATTTAAATCATGTTTTAAATCAAATCCACCCTGCATGAGCCTCTCACTCCCCCGGTCCCTGCCAGCAGACTGATCTGTCCGTGGCCCTCCTGCTCTTCCAGGCAGCCAAGCCTGCAGTCCTTTCTTCTCCAGCTCCAGGCTGCAACTAACTGCTGCTCTGTTCTGTAGCTCCTTTTTATAGGGTTCTCCTGGCCCCTGATCGACCGTTCCAGCAGCCCCTTTGGTTGCTTCCTCACAACCACCTCTGCACTGCTCCTTTCCTGGGATGGGTGTGGCAGAACCCTGAGGCCTCCAGCAGGAGGGCCTTGAATATCACAGCGATATTCAGTGCAATTAAAAGGTGGGAAGTTCAAAACTGAGAATAGGATATACTTTTCACCCAATGTGGGATTAAAGTGTGGAACTCATTGCCATGGTAAATAATTGGGGCTAAGAATTTATCAAAATTCATGAATGGATCTGATATCTAGATAGATATAGGGAATATTCAGAGTTGTTATAGCAATGATGACAAACTTTGGAAGGGATATTAAACCTCTTGCTTTAGGTCTGAAGACAATGCCTATTAGAGGATTAGGATGAGATCTATGAGGATGGGCTCAGATTATCCCATATCTTCTTACTGTGGGTTTCTTTCACCTTTCTCTAAAGCATCTGGCATTGGCCACTGTCAGAGACAGAATATCATATTAGATAGCTATTGATATACTGGATCTGAACCAGGGCCCATGTTTGTCTTTCACACCACTATTATGGTTCTCTGTGTCTGGAAACTTCTAAATCACATTTGGGCACTACCAGAATATGTATAACAACCATAAAATGGTGT